CGCGCACACTCGTCCTAAGAATCTGCAGCATTAGGATTCCCATGGCTGACGTCCCAGACTTGGTGTTTTGGCACGGTGTCGGAATGCGATTCGCAGTGTTGAAGTGCCAGGAATGGTGTTCGGGGGCGATTGAGGACTACCATGACGCAATTCACCTGTAACAGTGATTCGCGGCGCTGAAGCTCCAGGAATGGTGTTCTGGCACGGTTCCGGATTTTTAAACGGTTGTCTTCCATTGTGGCGTTTCCCTCAGTAACAATGAATACCGTCAAGTCGCCACATATACAATGCACATGGAGACTTTGATGTGCATTTTATTTTGGGGTCGTATAGCGGGTATTCCGAAAAATGGGTGCATGCCATACGCGGTTGTGCCGCGTTTAGCGTGCACGTCCGACGTGAGGGACAAACACGTTTAGCGTGCACGTCGGATGTCTGTACAAATATCAACGTTTAGAGTGCACCTGTGTTTCAGAATGTCGATCTGGCTCAGCAGTCCCTGAAATCACACTTGGCCTTTCGGCCTCCGCAGGCCCGAGCCACTTCTGCCTCTTCCTCCTTCTCCTACTCCTCCTCTTCCTTTTCCGCCTCATCTTCCTTCTCCTCCTTCCACTCCTCCTCTTCCTCCTCCCTCCCTCCTCCCCCCTCCTCCTCCTCCTCCGACTAGTAATCGTACGTGCAGCGTGGTAGTCCGTTTAGCGTGCCGTACATCGCTAATGTAAAAACGTTTAGCGTGCAGGTCCGTTTTGAGACATGGACAGCGTATAGCGTGCACGCACGGTTTGATATTTTTGCAAGGTGGTTTTGACAAGGGAATTGGCGTATAGCGTGCACGGTAATCGAGTATTTTCTTGTTCCTCACGGGGGGTCGTACACGCTAGACTTGGCGATTTGACCGTATTGTTATGGGGCCTATGAAGAGGGGATGTCGATGGAAGGTGTGTTGCAATATCGTTGATGAGCCTTGGGTTTGCACTGGTCCTCATCGACCTCCTCCTCATCATCCCCCATCCTTACAAATCGCGGTGGCGACGGCAGCTCACACGGGGCCCAGAGCCCAGGCAGACGTATCGTGTTGGATGGAGGCAGCGTGGTACACGGTAGGGGAAGGAGGTGGGTGCCAGCGTTCATGTTCGAGGAGTCACGTTGCATTGCGCATTGAACATGCGGATTTATTTGGAGTCGTGTTTGCGTGTGCCCACGTCAGCACGCGCGCGTGCGCGCATGAATGTGCAGCGTGCTGCAGGGTTCTGCCATCTTGGAGTGGTTGGATGTGTGGCGTACTGGATGCCTCTAGTACTCGTCTGCACGTCTAGTGGTGTGTGGTGCTCGGATTCGGCATTGGTTGTCCCATGATGTCTTTCACGCGCTCCTATCGGGGATGCTGGAATAGCCGAGCTATGACAAATCCTGGCATTGATCGCCCGAATATTTCAGTTCTATCCGAACGAATGGAAGCGGGGTCGATTGCGCGGGCATTCGCCTTCCCGCCGAGTGCCACACGGAAGTGTTGTTCACTTCAACGGGTGGGTGGGGGGGGTCGTTTTCGGCTTGCGTTTGCCCTCGCAACAAAAAAATGGCCGTGCACTCGTGCGTTAGGCACCCGCTTCTTCGCTGTTGATCTGGCGAGCTTGATCTCATAGCACTGCGTGACGCACAGATGCTTGCTTGCCGAGCCGATTGATCCCTGCATCTCTGGTAATCAGCATTTGGGAGCCTTCAGGAATCATGACAGGCCATATGGCAACCATGAGTTCAACAACGTGCTCGTTCGGGTCCGTCCGTCCGTGCTGAGGCTTGAACGGCTGAGACCTTAGTCCAGACACAGGTGGACGGAGGTTCCGAGGTGGAGTAGATGCGTTTCTTTGGCGAGGGCCAACAATCGGCATTCGTTGATGCTCACATCCTCTTCTTGCCTCCTACCATCCCCGCCACACCTTCGTCCCCTTGCGCTCATTGTCTCCCTCACCCCGCCACAAATCATTCCACACGCCCCTGACTTTCCCACTGCTACTATACTCCATCCCCCCATCCCGCTCCTCCTTCTCCCCGTATGCCTGCTCCCCCTCATCTTGTTGCTCCTCCTCTTCCATTTAACTCCTCGCTACCCCCATTCTTATTTCCTCATTGGTCTCATCCAGTTCTCGTCTGGTCTCCCATCCCTTCCGTCGCCGCCGGGCTTGGAAGAAATTGGCAGCCCAGTCCCAGGAAGGTGCAGTGGAGCGCAGGGGGGAAGGAGGATCAGGGAGGACCAGTCGCAATCCACCCTTCGTCCCAGGTCGCCTCCTCAGAAGTCCCTCGAGCCCTCCTGCCCACCACATGAGGCGCCCACTTGGAAGACGAGCACCCTGTGGGCCTGCCCGTCGGGCGAGAGAGCCGCGCGTTGAGAAGGAACGGTCGGCATCTCTCCGGCGAGTCAGAAGGCATGCGGAACGTGGGATCAGAAAGTTCAGCGGTGTGTCCAGCGGGAGCCCCCTTACTAAAAAGGAGCCGCACCACCATCCGTGCAACCGTTGGATACTTTCACACTGTTGGTCACGAAGCGTGAGGAAGTCTCGAGCGAGGGCCCCGTTTTGAAAAGGAACATCCATCCTCCCGCGAAGCTGCCACATATCTTCAATCCACTGGCCGGTAAGTGCGAGGAAGCTTCAAGCGGTCGCCTCGTGTTGAAACGGAGCCGTCCTCCCATCTTTGCATATGTGTCGCATTCGTGTTTGACGAATACGAGCCGTCGCTGAAGCAAGAGCCCCATTTTGAAAACCACCACCCCTCCACTATTGTATCTGACACACGCTTGTGGAACGAATGTGCGCGGCGCTAATGCGAGAGTACGATGTTGAAAACGAGCCGTCATACATCCGTGTAAGTGCTGCCAACGTTTTAGGACGAATGTGCGCGACGTTGAGGCGAGAGCCCATTGTGAAACCCATCCTCTTCCATTATTGTAACTGCTGCAGGCTGCTGAGACGAATGTATGCGGCGCCAAGGCGAGGGTCCCAGCACAAGCTTCAGGATCGAAATAGTTGGGAAGTCTCAGGCGCGACGCCCAGCCCGCCCTACCGGCACGTGGGCTTGGCTGGGAGGAGTTCCTTGCGGGGAAAGGGGATGGAGAAGGGAGAGGAAGGATTAGGCAGGGAGACCAGAAGGGACGGGGAGGATCGGAATGAGAGAAAGAGGGCGAGGAGGCGGAGGCCAGGGGGGAGGGAGGAAGGATATGACAAGGATAACAGAAGATATTGAGATGCAGGAGGGAGGGGGAGGCGGTGGCGAAGAAGGGAAAGGAAGAGGGAGAGGAGTGGGAGGAGGAGGAGGAGGAGGAGGAGGAGGAGGATGAAAAGCAGGAGAAGGAGGTTTACAAGGGGGAGGCATACAGGGGGGAAGGAGGGACGGGGAGGAGGAGGGACGGGGAAGAAGGTGGAGGGGACGGAGGGGGGAGGAAGGGGAAGGAGGAGAAGGACGGGGAGGAGAGGGGCGGGAGGAGGAAGTGAAGCAGGAGGGGGGAAGAACGATGAGGACAGAGGAGAAGGGCGGGGGAGTGCCGCGGGGGGCCGGCCCGCTGCTACTTCGGGTGGCCAAGCCTCTTGCCAGTTGGATCCATTGTGTTGTTTGAGGGCGTCCCGTTTTTGTTGGTGGGCCTCCTCCGGCGCCTTCTCCCTGCTCCCTCCTGCTGCCTCTTCCCTCCTCCTGCTCCCGTCTGCTCCCTCCCAGTTCCGCTGGGGGAAGTAGGATGAGAAGGAGGAGGAGGAGGAAGAGGAGGAGGAGGAGGAAGAGGAGGAGGAGGAGGAGGAGAAGGAGGAGGAGGAGGAGGAGGAGAGCAGCAGTATAAGTAGGAGGAGGAGGATAAAGGAAAGTGAGGAACATGTGAATCAGGAGGGGCAGCAGGATGAAGAGAAGCCGGGGTGGGAGGAGCGCGGGAAGCGGGAGGGGCGGGAAGAGCAGGAGCAGGCTGAGCAGGTCCAGCGCGCACAGAACCCCATGCGGGCCACCGTCCGCCCCATCCCTCTCTCCTCCATCCCTCTCCTTACGATCCTCCATCCTTTCCCCCATGAGTAATTTTTCCTTGTCGCACCCCCAGACGTGCCGGTAGGGCAGGCCTTCAAGCTGGAAAGTGCAACAACTCAACAGATGGAGGGCAGGTCGCGCTCAAATTGTAGTTTTTGTCGTAGCGCTGCGCACATTCGTCTTAACAGTCTTCAACACCTTCACTGACGCAGTGGAGGGGAGTCTCAGCATGTGGATCTCGCCCGAGCGCCGCGCAGATCCGAGTTCTAAGTGAGCAACAACCGCTTCATGCACGGAGGGCGATTCCTTCTCCAAAGTGGGGATCTCGCCTATGCGCCGCGCGCGTTCGCTTCAAGTGTTTGCAACAGTTTCAAGGGCGGACGGCGGGCCATGTTCAAAATGTGCGTCTCGCCTGAGCACCGCGCACATTCGCTTTAAAAGCGTGCGGCATGTCCATGGATGTAGGGGAGCTCTCAAAATGTGGCTCTCGCCTCCGCGCGGCGCATATTTGTTTTGACAGTTTGCAACAGTTTCACTGACAGAAGGGCGGCTGATGTTCGAAGTGTTGTTCTCGCCGGACCGCCCAGCATATTCGTGACAACATGTTGCAATCGTTTCGCGGAAGATGGGCGGCGTCTTTTGAAAATGAGGTTCTTGCCATAGCCCCCGCGAACATTCGTTTTAGACGATTGCTACACGTTTCAAGGATTGGGCATGGGTTGTTTTCACAAGCTGTGTTCTCGCCTCAGCGCCTCGCGCATTCGATATTTAATGCGACGTTCAGCAGGATGGAAGACAGTCATGCTTCGACATGTAGTTGCGACTTGAGACTTTCTCGAGATTCATGACCACAGGAAACACTGAGGGAGGGGCATCTTTTTCACCGAAAGAGGAATATCGTTGGACACTTCGTTGAATCGTATGATCACGGTGGCAGGTCCATCTGTTTAGGTATTTCCAGGGGACGTTTTTGTAGGTTGTGGAAGAGAAGATTTCTAGGGGCGTTTGATGAGGGGCCTTGGGACGAGAGGTTGTATTTCAACGTCGCTTATGCATGCGTATTTGGTTTACTCATCTCCTCTTCCTCATCCTCCTCACAGCTTCCTTCTCCACATCCTCGTACTGCCCTCTCCACCTCGTTTTTTTTCACCTCCTCGAGGGAGGGGCGGCGCGTCGCTTGACCGTGCAGGTCCGACTTCCTCGAGCCGGCGAAGGGCTCGCGCCTTGGCGGCTTCCTACTGCAGCCGACACTGCTGCTGCTACTGCTGCTGGGCACTCTACTGCCATGAACGGCGGTTGGCCATCGGCTGGGCATGGAGGTGCCTTGGGGGGGGGGGGGAATCCGCCCTGCAGGGGGGGGGCGTTTGAGAGGAAAGAGGTGAAGGATGAGGTACACAACCCCATTTCCGCATCTCCCTATCATGCCCACATGTTCCTTGTTCTTTCATTCCTGGCTCCCGCCCAAGGCTTTTCCTCCCCCTCTACTCTCCTGCCTCTCCCGAAACCTGTTGGGATGAGCACAGAATGATGTTCCGAGCCCGCTTCCATCAGGATTGTCCAGCAGCTGTAGTACTGTGTTTCACCGTCTTGACCAGGCTTCAGCTTGAGTCAGCAGAAGGATGAGGATGGGAGGAAGCATTGTAACGGAGCAGGAGGAAGGAGGGATACAGTAAGATAATGCGGGTGAGGTGCATGATATCTTGAAAGCGTGGCTCGCCAAGGGCGCACTCTGGTCGCCATGGCCGGCACCTCTATGCATCACCCAATATCGTCATTGTGAAGTTGCAGCCATTCCTCTCGACGAGACTGCTGAGGATATGGCAACTGGCATTCGTTTGTCAGCGTGCTGGCTTGAGCTCCGATGGAAGAAATAACAGAAGGATGAGGTGAGGTGGTGGGAGTTGGATCGGATCGGCTGTCCAGGATAAAAAGGGTCAAGCCCTTCCTGCCGGGCGAGCGCGGTCGAGGAGGATAATGAGGTCTTGGATACCAGCGTTAGGGAGGAGGAGGAGGAGGAAGAGGAGGGGGAGGAGGAGGAAGAGGAGGGGGAGGAGGAGGAGGAGGAGGAGGAGGAGTGGAAAAGATTGCGAGAACGAGAGATGGGGGGGCGGCGAGGAGGGCAGGCGGGATCAGGAGGGCACCTGCGCCACCGCACCCCTGCACGAGAGTCCAGGAGCGAACCGAACGGGCGCCAGTGCAGACGCAGAGCAGCGCGGCACGGTCAGCGGCAGGGCGGGACGCTCCCACTGTGCCCGGGGGGGTCAGGTGAGCCTGCCGCCGACGCACTACCTGAACATTTCCAGGCAGCACTTGCGCCCAGGGGGGCGCCAAAGGCTGGGCTCCCGCCTCGGGCTTGCGCCCTCTGCCGCGGGGCCCCCCTAACGGATCTGCGGCCTGAGGGTAGCCGAGCCAGAGACGTTTGCCGGCCTCCTCGGGGCCATCTCGCGGTTCTCTTGGGGGCATGTCTGGGAGCTGTCCCGGGGAAGCCTTGGGCCCACCCTGGGGCAGTCTCGGGGCTTTTGCTCGGTTGGCCCCACATGGGGGGCCCGCCGCACTGCCCACAGCGGCCAGTCCTGTGCACGGGCTGGTGGCGGGCATTCCCAAGTAGCGTGTGCGGGTGTGTACCCCGGAGGTGTTCCAAAACGTTGTTTTCGGTTCTGGGTTGTTTTTGGATCGTGGGCAGTGTTTGTTATTGTTTGGTTTTCGGTCGGTTCTCGTTTGGGGGCCCACCGTTGTCCCAGTCGCGCCCCTAGGCTTACGCCAGGAGTGCTGTCTGGGGCGTACTCTCGGACCGCTATCAATTTCCCACGGTTGGCTTGCATGTACCGTGCCATGTTGGCGTCTCCCCAGGTGTCGTCCGTCGATACTCGGCTTAAGTAGGACACGGTGCATCGAGTTGTTTCTCCGATGGCCGAAACATCGCGAGCCGTGCGTACAACGTTAGAGTGTGGCCGAAGGGAGTTTGATCATGATGCGTCGCATGTGTGTCGTTCACGTAATTTTCAAGTGGCTTGAAAACGTAGATGTTGGCTGGGTCAACTCAACGTATTTCGCCATCTGACAAGCTCGGTGGCCGTCTGTGACCGCGCGCGGATCTGCTCTGCTGGAGGGACGTCGCTAACCATGCAGGCTTCGCCATAACGAGAGCCCACGTGCCCCAAGGGAAGGCGCGACCCACCGAAGATATGCATCACGAGTGGCTCCGGCTCTGCACAAGAAAGAGGAGGAGGGGGGGAGCGAGGAGACGGAGGAAGACGAGGAGGAGGGAAGGAGGAGGAGGAGGAGGATGAGCATGGCTGTCTATTATTTTGCTTTGCGTGGCCTCCAGGGGTCCTCGCGTCGCCACGTCCGAAGTCACCTCATAATCTTGATCAGAACGCACTCCAGGACAGGTTTGCGGGTCGACTTTAAGGTGCGAGGAGAAGGAGCGCAAGGGGAAGGGAAGAATGGGAAGAAGACGAGGCGCAAGAGAAGGAGGAGGAGGAGGAGGAGGAGCAGTTGGAGCATTAGGATTGTCTTGATTGTGATTCTTGCTCGGCCCAGCGCAGGCCCGCTGAAACTCTGCCCAGTCCACCCCAGACGGCTCACCAGACCACCTCGTCCGTTTTTCCCTCATTATTGTTCTCATTATCCTCCTCTTGCCTCCTGATCGCTTCCTCCTCCTCCAGACTACCCCTCCTCGTCCTCATCCTCCTCCCTGCCTCCCTCCCCTCCCCCCCCTCCCATCATCCTCCCCGTCGTCATCCTCCCCCCGCTCCCCTCCTCTTTCTCACCCGCTCCTGCTCCCCGTGAGTCAGGGGCGAGCGCTGACCGCCACTAAAGAGGCCGACGAAGTGGCCGAGGCCGCCAGGGCTGTTGACGATGAAACGCAAAGACTGGCTGCTGCCAGCCACCAGCGCGCAGAGGATGTGCAGCAAATGTTTGATGAAGTGCGCACGGCGAGCGCCCCGCTTGCCCCCGGGGGTGGGCCGGCACCGGATGCGAAGGATAAGGCCAACGATGCCGCAGGAAAGATAGACGGATTCCTTGGCGCCCATAGGGGGTGCTGGGGAAGATGGCACCAAGAGCAAGGGTGACAATATTGCTGGTAGGGAGAAGGACACAGTCGGCGTCAAGTGGCCGAGCCATGTGAAGAGTTGACGGGAAAGTTGCGCCAATATCCAAACAGCACAGAGAACGAGTCTTCGAACGCAGCTTTCTTGCAGATGGGACAGCCTGTCACGTTCAAAAAACAGGGAGAGGTCGACCATAAGGTCAGTCATGTGGTTACGCCCTTCTTCGAGGTACTTGTGCCGCAAAGCGGCGCGCGTTCTAAGAAAGCGTTCAGCGATGGACGGACCAACGCCACCCAGACAATGGACATCGTTCAACGTGGGAATACCAATATGTATGGGAACATCGAGTCCTTCATGTTTTTGTACCTGGTGGGCGAATAATTCCGATTCTCCATTAGCGGAGGGATAGAAATCTTCGAGCTGGATGTTCTGAGTTCTGACGGGCATTGAAGACGTGCTCCAAATATCAGCTATAGCGGTGCAGGACGAGGACAAGATGTGGATGTCGGTCCATGTCGTCGAGCCCGATGGAAGGTTGGAGAGGCACGAAGATTCCTCAACCCATCCCATGCTCAACGTAAGGGTTTTTGGTCCAGATCGTAGTATCCCGCTTAGCCAACTGTCACGCATGCTGCAATGAGGCGGGGCGGAGGTACTTAAAGTAATGCGGTTCCCCACATGAATGTGATGTTCGGCCTTTCCATTGAAACGGACGATCAGGACACATATACATGCGCCGCATAGATGATGCCGACGCAGTGTTCCGGGGCTTCATTGACGCTGGCAACAAAATAGTTAGCTATATATATATATATATATATATATATATTTGCCCAGTTAGGCTTGACTAAGGTGTTCTTACGTGTTTAAAGGATGGTGCCTCGTCTTCTTACGTTGCCCGTTCTCCAAAGGTTCCTCGGGTTCTCCGGGTTCGTCGGGCCCCCCGCCCCGGGTGCCTCATATTCTTCCTGTGCCCGTTCCCAAATGGTTCTTCAGGTTCCCTGGGTTCCTCGGGCTCCCCGCCCCCAGTGCCTCGTGTTCTTACGTTCCCCGTTCCTCCGAGGTTCCTCGGGCACCCCGGGGCCCGCGGGTTCCTTGCCCTGGTTGTTGGCTTTGTTTCATTCCACTGCCCTGCAACGTCGAGCAGCGCCACGCAGCGCCAAGCAGATCAAAGCACTGCACGGCAACGCCGAGCAACGCCAAGGACAGCCAAGCAACTCCAAGCAATGCCAGGCAACACCGAGCAACGCCGAGCGATGCCAAGCAATGCCAAGCAACGCCAGGCAATGCTAAGTAATGCCAACAATGCCAAACTGCGCACAGCAACGCCAAGCAATGCCGAACAGGGGACTCACGCGCCCGGGCAGGTTTGATTCCGGCAACTTGTCGGCCGCGGGGCTTCCCCAACGTCTAGGCCGAAAGGTTTCGCGGTAGTCTGCGGCATGTGAGGGCGCGAGAAAGGTCGCCGCGCGGGAGGGCTCCTTCGGCGGCCCCGCGGCCGCGCCCGCGGGCGGCGAGAGCGGCGGCGGGCGGTTGGAACGCGCCGCCACCGGCGGCTCTTTCATCGGGGAGTTTGATTTCGTCAGATTGCTGAACATATCGGAGCCGGAGATGACGGGCGTCGAGACCCCAGTAAATTTCGAGACGGGCGCGCACCATTTGCCACCCCGATCGGGGCCAAGCGGCGCGACCCCGACTAAAAGTAGAAATCGCCCAACAGCAAGGCGCCGGCAGCTAACGACGCAATGCGAAGGCGCAAAGATGCAGCGGCTGAGCGCGCGATCGCAGCTCGTTGAATCCGCGCTTTTCCTCGATTGGAGATTCTGGCTGCATCGCTGCGCCGCGCGGGTGGCAAGCGCCTGCGAAGGTCGACGGCGACGGATGTTCCGTCGGAGGAACAGCGGGCTCGACCGGGAAAGGCCGCCAGGAAAGAGGAGGCTCATTCCGCGCGCGCTGCGATGGGAAGCTAGTCTCGTTCATGCCACGCACGCCAGGCGGCGCCTGGAAGTCGTTCTCCCTAGTTTTGGATTGCAAGCGAGGCCGAGCCACCCGCGCCCCCCCCCCCCCCCCCCGACGGGCGCGGAGCCGGACTCGGCGCCGGTCGCCGCGACCGACCCGGAGGGCCCCGCCCCGCAGAGCCACGAGAGAAACGCAATTTTTCCAGAGCGAACAGCCTAGACAGCACCAAGCACCATCGGAAGCGGCGGGCCCCGAGGCTGCCGCGAACGGGTCGCGGCGCTCGCGGCCCTTGAGAGGAATGGGTCTGGAAGACCCCGCCACCGCCGCAGGTCTCGCGCGTCTCTGGAATTTTAGCCGTCTCCCTTCGCGGGGGAGTTCGGCAAACTTGTTGACGGGTTTGTAACGGCGCGGGAAGGCTGTCGCGCTTGGGCAGCGATAGCAATGATGTCGCGGTGTCTGGGGATCTGCTTCTGATGGGCCCGCGCCCCGCTTCCCCGGACATTTGCCTCCGGGCCGCCTTCTCTCCAAGCGGGGCTTTTCCGATCCCGAGAGGGCGGCGGACCTTAATTCTGCAAGTGATGATTGGGCAGCAAGAGTCGATTTGAAGCTTGTGAGGATCGCTGGTTTGGCTCGCAGGGCACAGCCCGAGAAATGCCGACATGGGCCGCGCATCGCCATGGAGCGAGACGCCGCTTCCGAGCGCAGCGACGCGCCGGCAAACCGCGACTGGCATGAAAAGGCGGCGCCAGGAGATGCCGCGACCGACCAGGCTGCGATCCGCTGTAGAATGCACGCTGCCGGTTGCGAGATCGCATCAGTCACTCCCGACTACTGGCGCGCGGCCCGCCTGGGCCCCTCGGTTTTCTGGCGAGAGACGCAGCCCCCCACTCCGACGAAGTGCATTCCAGACGAGCCGGTCGCGGCCGACGTGACCAACGGACGTGAACATTCCGCGCGAAAGCCCCTGGCCGCGATGGCGGCGCACTGTTCTCTGTCCGACGCAGCTGGGGGAGCTGGGAAGATCGACCGAACAATGAAAGATGAATCGTTTCGGGACCGATCGGGTGAAAAAGAGCGCGCGCCGCGGGGCCCAGGCGATAAGGGGCGGTCCGCGCGAGAGAGCGCGCGTTGCGATGGATGCGCCCCGCCCGCGCGCCGACCCCGCGGCCGCGCGTAGCGAAGGGAAGATACGTAGACCACGCGATTTCGCCCCCCCCCTCGCCAGGGTCGGGCATTGGCGGCCGCGTTGGCCCTGGCCCAGACCCGGTTTCCAGGCGAAATTGCGCGATAGAAGATACCTCCGCCGGAAAGCACCCACTTCGATGAAAGCGGCAGGGGTGCGATGGAAGCGAGGCCGGAGGCGCAGGAGGTCGGTCCTGGCCCAACAGCGACTGGGGCAGCGACGCCAGCAAGAGCCGCGAGATAGGGCGAGAAATAGCGGGGCAGAGTTTCCGAAGCTGGCAGCGCCAGCGGCGGCGACTGGCGCTCGGGCAGTAGGGGCAGACGCCGCGAAGCTGGCGGCGCCAGCGGTGGCGACTGGAGCTCGGGAAGTGGATGGCGCGACAGCAAGGGGAAATCTGAGTCTGGCAAATCTTCGTTGACATACGACCCTGCGAAGACTATCGTAAGAAGGGCCAGAAATATTACCTGCCGGAAAACACATGATCGAGGTCGTTGCGAGTTGCGGGGCGACGCAGTCGACTGAGCGATCAGCGCGGGGCGCCCCGCGGGCCTGGCAAATCAACGCGGGGCCCGTCGAGGGACCGAGCCTTTGCCGCCGCGGCGGGATGAGGCGCTGCGCGCACGGTAAACGCTGTTACATTTCATATTGTTTTCGGGGGTCGGCGTTCCCTGGCGCAGCGTGCTGAAGGCTGGCAAGCGAAGGCGCGGCTGCCCTGGTGCCCGACGTGGGGGGGTCGATTATTTTCGCCCCTTCCTGCCTTCTGTTGCCCTCCACGCGCATGCCACCGCGCACGTTTGGTTGGGGCGCAGTCGGTGCCTCGTTGGTGACAGAAACGAGAAGCGCGCGCCGCCATGTCGCCCATCGAAGTCAGGGATTAAATCACGTCGAAGACCTTCGCGAAGGGCTCTACTGAGCTAGGAGAGGGCGAACAGGATGTGCCCCGCGCGCCGGGCGGCCGTCTTGAATCTCTGACCGTAAACACGCCGCCTGGCAAAGCATCTCCTCCATAATGCGCTGCGCAGCATGGGCGCGCGCGCGTCTGGTTGCCCGCCGCCGCGCGCCGATGGGCCCGAGCGCGCCTCGGCCCGACGCGCCGTCTGCAGGGCACTCGGCGACTGAGCAACGATGAGCACCGCGAGGGCGACCTGGACCGCAGGCTGCGCCGCGTTCGGCGCGGTCACCGCGAAACGCCATCCCCTGCCGCAAGTGGCTGTCCGGCCGCCCCAACCATTGCGGGGTGCTTCTCGCCTCGCATTGGAGCGGCGCCACACGGGCAATTGCGCGGGCGTCTTGGTCGCGGGGCTCTGGCTGGCACAAATCGCCAGGCATTCGGCAGGCACTGCGTGCAAGCGCCCGGTTTGGGCGCGACAGCACTGCTTGCGCTGGGAGGTGCCAGCGCGGCAGCACGCCACCGCGGAGGTCAGCGCTGCTGTGCTGGTCGCGCCTTTTTACAGACTTAGCCGGCATGCGTCGCGGTGGCCCGGCACGTTGGCCACGCGGTGTTGCCGACGTTGGAACAGCTACGAAGCCAAGGTAGGCGCTTGCGACGCTGCGCCGCGGTCGGCCGCATCCAGCCAGCACGCGCCGCGTCGGTGCCACGCGGCATTCACCGCGCCAACACGTGGACCAGTCAACAGCCGTGACTGAGAAGCGCTAGCAATTGAAGACACTTTGCCCGCAACGGCTGCGCGAGCTGCATCTGCGCGCCTTCGCAGCAAGGGGCGCGCGTGTTTTCCAGCCACGCAGCCGCGCAAGCGCCGCAACGGCCAGGCACGCCCGCCAGCGCCAGCAGATATTCAGCAGCGCGCAAGATGCAGTGCCGCGGAGCTCACCTGGGTGGCAGGTGCGACCGGTGCCGCGGCGCGAGCGCACGCCTTGCATGATCTGTGGCGGGCCCCCACGAGCAGTGCCCTGCTCCCGGCTGCCAGGCAACATCATCCAGTCGACACCACATTGGGCAAGGAGCTTGTCCTCAGACTTTCCCTGGTGCGCGGTGCCGTTGCGATCAAGCAACCCTCGCCACGGGCAGCGCATCGCACGCATGTGCTGGCCATGGAAAGGCACGCGTTGCTTTCCAGGTTTTACCGCGCCACCGTTCGGGCTGAAACTCCAGAGTCATGATGGAGGAACACGATGCAACGGGCTGCTAAACGCGCCTGATCAACGTGGCGAAACGATTGTTTCACCGCCTCTCTTCGCGTGTTCTTCCGCGACCAGAGCGTTTTGCAGGGACGCATTCGATTGCGCGGCGAACCGATTCGAATAGGACCCGTCCACGCCCGCCGCCGCCATTATGGCTCACTGTGTGCACGCGATATCATCACATGAAAGGAAAAGGATCACCGCCATGCTCTTTACATTGCCGCCATATTTTCATACAGTCATCACGCATACCAGCATTTCCTGTCCTTCCACGATTTCCCCCTTTTCCTCTTCCTCTTCTTCCTCCTTCATACCTTCCTGCCATCCATACAAAATCGGGGTCCAAGATTACAATATCCTAACACAGTGCACGAAACGCCGTTCCAAGTCATAAAATGCATTTACTTCGGGAGGGCACGAACCGACGCCACCCAAGCTTTTTCAGTCAGGCGCGGTGATTTGGCAGAGACACCATGTTATGACATATGCATGGTTCATCATGATTGTGTTTCTTCATATATGTGTTCTTTGGCCCCCTTGCCACAGTCGTTCCCCCTGCTCTTCCGCCGGCCCAACCTGATAATCATTGCCACCTTTTCCCCCACCCGACATGTTAGGGGTCGTTCCATTTTAAGAACAGACCTCCCGGCCCGCCCGCCCTGCATACCGCGGCCGCCAAATCCACAGGCTCCCGATAGTCCTTGGTGGTCCCGCCCCCCCCCCGCCCTGAATACCGCGGCCGCCAGGTCCCCAGGCTCCCGATAATCCCTGGTGGTCCCGCTCCCCCCGCCCTGCATACCGCGGCCGCCAGATCCCCAGGCTCCCGTTAATCCTTGTTGGTCCCGCCCCCCGCGCCGATCCGCCCACTTTGCACACTGCGGCCGCCAGATCCCCAGGTCCCTCGATAATCCCTGAAGGTCCCGTCCCCCGCGCCGATTCGCCCAGTCTGCATATCGCGGCCGCCAGATCCCCAGTTCCCCCACTGAACAGGGCATGACACAACACCACCGAACAGAACATATACGAGCATAACACATTACATCATGACACACCATACCGTAAAATAACACCATGACAGAGCAGTGCATACCATAGCACAGCATCCCAGCACATGTCATTACACAGCATGGTAAATCAAACATGCCATAACATAGCAACGCAGAACTGAAGATGCCAACACATACCATGCCACATCACCATACAGCATGGCATAACAGATCATAGCACAACACCGCAACACAACGTATGCTATGAGATACCAGAGCATAACATACCATACCATAACATATCATCACATAATACAACATGGCATAACAAACCACACCACAACACATCATTACATCACTGATCTGTTAATACCATGACAAGACATACCATGACAGAGCGCGGCATATGATGTTATAGCATAGCAGCACATAGCATTGCATCACACTATAAGATATGACAGACTTGTCCACACAGAACATGGCATAACACCACAATTCACAACACAAAATGCGCGCGCCCACCAACACAAGCGACCACCAGCACCGCACCCCCACGCCGACTCGCCCACTATGCACGCCGAGCCCCGCGCACATCGTTCCAATGAGCGCGCGCACCTTCGGGATCAAGCGCCGAAGGTTTTGGTGGGAATCGCCCGAAGCAAAAAAAGTGTCGAAAGTACAAATGTCCGTCCACGCATGTGGTAAATCATATTGCGCTGGCGATTGCGTTCGATATGCGGCTCTCTATCTCTCTTCGATGTGTGTAAAGCCGCAGAGTTGTTTACCGACCACGACGTCCGCCGTGCAATTGGATATGCATCCGTCTCGTTTTCCCTTCCCGTCCCGAGAAACGGATGTTGGGTAACGGCGCTGGGCCGTGGGGCATATTTCAGCATATTTGTCAATTTACGTGCATACGCAGCCAATTGCAGTCACGGAAACCATGTTTCAGTTGTTGTAGTTACCCTAGACGGGGCGAAAGCCAAGTGCTCATAAAGGTTGCGCGGGACGCAGGATATATGTCGCGCGTTCGGTGCAGCGTTTCTAGGTACCAGCCGTATTGAGAATGGTCTGCGTAGTGGCGACGTTGCACTTCATTTGGTCGCATCGCATAGGCAGTTGACGGGGCACGGGGATGATTGATCCAAGGTTGTTGTGGTCATTCACGTGGGAAGGCATCAGAGTGGGTAGGTTGGGATTCGGGCTTGGTGCGTAGATTATCCGAGGGACAAGAGCGAGAGAAAGAGAGAGAGAGAGAGATAATGCGAAGGATAATGAGAAAGAGAGAGAGGGGGGGGGGAGAGAGAGAGAGAGAGAGAACAAAACAAAAAAGAAAGAGAGAGAGAGAGAGAGCATGGGTAAGTTATCCGAGGGATGTCGCTAGAACAAGAGGAAGGTATTATATTCACCACGTCTTGCGGGAGGGGGGAACGGCTCCATCGACATGTGCCGTGCCTTCGTAAGCAGCCGCATGCACATTGACACGGCATTGTCAGTCAGCAATGCAAGTCCAAGGGCATAACCGCGTCTCGGCATGCCTCATGTGGATGTTCGGCGGACGCCGAGTGATCTTGCGTTTCCATTCCGCACCGGCGTCGCTTGTTTGTCAGCCGCGCCTTTCGGTGGATGTCAAGCATGTGTTTCCGCGGTCGTACGCATGCTCGGGAGCTTGCGAGGAGGCTTGCGGATTGTTGCTCGTCCAATTGCGTCGCCGCGCTGTTCATCGCCGCGCTCGACACAAATCGGGCGTGCGCTGGTCAGTGGAGCGGTCGGTGCCTATCAAGTTGTGCTGTCGCGCGTATCCGGCATCGCGTTGTGAGGAACAGAGGGGTCGGATGGGCGGCAGCCAGGGTGGAGGGTTCTCGGGGCGCCCCACCAGAAGCTATGTTGTTGGACTGGTGTTTGCGTGGTGGGTGGGAGTCCCAGGGACTTGGAGCAAACAGTGGACGTTTGTTGGCCTCGTTGCATCGGGGGAGGGACTCAGCTCCATTTCAAAAAGGGGCGAAACTACAGGTCGGTCGGACGGCACATTGCCTTGCCAAAAAAGTATGTGTTGACGCTTCGCGAATCCCAGCCCATCCAGGGTCCAGGACCGATTCCCAGGTAAGGCGGGACCGCAGGAGAAGGGACACGGGGGATTGTGGCAACCGAACGTCTCATCCGTTTTGTCTCCCCTATCCAGCGGGGGGTGGCGGATAGAGAGGGCCCCGTGGGTACCAGAGATTTTGTGGGGCGTCCAGAGATTCTTGATGAGGTTTTGAGGGTCTTCGGATTGTGCATGGGGTCCAGGGGGGAGTCAGAGCCCCCATGGTGGAACATCTTGGGTCTGTCCTGGGGTGCCACGTGGTCATCTACGGTCCAAGGACTGTTCTTGTCTACAGTTCTAGGCGTTTTGAGCGGGTAGCCCCTAGGCACAATCTTGCTGTTGTCCCACGGCCGTCTTCGGCGCAAGAGGGCGAGGAGCAGCACGCGGTGTGCAGGCGGCGGGTCGGGCGAGGTCTGGGTTTTTGCTTTTCGGGGGAAGTTGTGCATTGGATCTGTTGGTGCTCAGGAGGAGAAGAGGAGAGGGAAGAGGAGGACCGTAGGAAGAGGAGGAGGAGGAGGTTGAGGAGGAGAAGGAGGACCGTAAGAGGAGGAGGAGGAGGAGGAGGAGGAGGAGGACGGAGGAGGAGGAGGAGGACCGGTCGGAGGAGGAGGAGGAGGAGAAGGAGGAGGTCGAGGAGGAGGTGGAGGAGGAGGGGGAGGGAGGAGGAGAGGAGGAGGAGGTCGAGGAGGAGGCGGAAGGGGGGAGGAGGAGGAGGAGGAGGAGGAGGAGGAGGAGGAGGAGGAGGCGAACGAGGAAGTCGAGGAGGAGGGAGGAGGCAGGAGGAGCAGGAGAGCGACAGGAGGAGGAGAGGGCGAGAAGGGGGAGGAAGGGGGAGGAGGGTAGTGGGAGGGAGGAGGAGGAGGAGAGGAGGAGGAGAAGGAGGAAAGAGAAGCAGGAGGAGGAGGAGGGGAAGAAGGGGAAGGAGGGGAGAGGGAGGAGGAGGAGGAGGAGGAGGAGGTGGAGGATGAGGGGAGGAGGAGGAGGAGGAGGAGGAGGAGGAGGAGGAGGAGGAGGAGGAGGGGGAGGGGGGAGGGGGAGGAGGAGGAGGAGGAGGAGGAGGTCTTGCACAATGCCCGTCTGCTAGGATGGAGCGTGCTTGTAAATTACAGTCACATGCGCATGAAACCCGAAGTGCTCGCCACAAGCTGCCCTGAACGAACGAACGAGGAGGAGGAGGAGGAGGAGGAGGAGGAGGAGGAGTGTAGGATGACCGTACGAGGAGGAGGAGGAGGAGGAGGAGGAGGAGGAGAGGAGGAGGAGGATGAGAAAGGAGGAGGTCGAAAGGGAGGGAGATGATGAGGTGGAGGAGGAGGAGGAGGAGGAGGAGGAGGAGGAGGAGCAAGGTGAAGAGGAGCTCGAGGACGGGGAGGAGGTTGAGGAAGAGGAGGATGGGGCTGAGTCATCGGGAGCAGGGCAGAGATGACTCCTCAAAGAGCGGGGCCTCACAGGGCGCCGAGCTGGCCACGGCCCCCCGGAGTGGGGGCGGGGAGTGCCAGGGCGGAGCCCCCAGGCGCGGCCTGGGGCGGCGGTTTGTCCTCTCACACGTCGGGGCGCCGCACGGCCTGCTCTGCACTTTGAGGGGGCGAGGTAAGACCAGGCTTCAGGAGCTTCGGGAAGGAGGGTGGGGGGTGCGATGTGGAGGAGGACGACGAGGACGAGGAGGAGCAGAAGGAGGGCAGCAGGGGGGGAAATGGAAGAGGAGAAGGAAGGGTGGGGGGATGATAGGGAGAAGAGGAGGGCCAGGAGGAGCAGGAAGGAGGGCGAGGGGAGTGGCAGGAAGAGGAGCAGCCGCTGCAGAAAGGCGGCAGGAGGGTGAAGAGCAGGAGAAGTGGCTAGGAGTAGAAAGTAGATAGGAGCAGGAAGATCGCCCGGATTTTACTGCTCCCCCTGCAGGCGCTGCGAGGGGGAATGTGGAGAAGACGGAGGAGGAGGAGGAGGAGGAGGAGGAGGAGGGAGGAGGAGGAGGAGGGGGAAGATGGGGGGAGGGGGGGTGGGGAGGGGAGGAGGAGTTGCTATGGGCGAGATGGAGATCAAACATCTCTGCAGTGAGGCCGATCCAGGGCACAGTCGAATTACTACGTTGAGACTCTGCCCCGAGAGGTGCTCGTGGTGCTGCTGTCCCCGCCCCCCCCCCCCTCCCTACCCGATGAGGAGGGGGAGGGGGAGGAGGAGGAGGAGGAGGAGGAGGAGGAGAAGGAAGGGAGTGGTCCCAGCCATCGCTGCTGGGTTTCCCGAAGGTTCGGCGCTGCTCTGATCGATTCTGCAGCCCATGGAGCTGGTCAACTTCGCCGCTGGCGCCGCGACGCTTGGGGACTCTGGGTATATCCCCTCACCTTTGCTGCGTGGCTCCCCTCTCTCCTATGCTATCCCCTGCCCGTGTTCTCCACTCCTGATGCCAATGCCGCCCGCCCTTGCAAGCTGTCCCTGCCCAGGCGCCATCCCCCTCTTCTCAGCGTTGTCCCTCGTTCTGTGCCTCCTTCTGCCTATTTCCCCCTCCCGCCCGCCCTCCCCAAAAGCTTGGCCAAGCTATCGGGCCAGTTGTTTCCCGAGTCGGTTTTGAAAGCCTCCGGGGAACGCGTGGGGGGAGCAAGAGGAGGAGGATCAGGAGAGGGAGCAGGAGGATGATAAGGAGGAAGATGAGGATGAGGATGAAATGATGATGGGGGAGGAGGAAGAGGACAGTAGGAGGAGGAGGAGACTTCTTGGTAACCTCTTGGGAGGCCTCTTGGGAGGCCTCTTGGGATGCCTCTGCGGATCTTCCCGGGAGCCTTCTGGAGGCCTCTTGGGAGCTTCCCTAAGCCTCTTGGGGGCCTCTTTGGGGCTTCTTGGGACCTCTTTGGTCGTCTTAGGGCGTTCATGACCCGTCTGACGCCGTCGGAAGAAGTCTTGGCCCAGAGAGGCCCCCAAGACTCTTCGGGGCCTGAACCGACTTGGAGCCCTCTTCGGGCGCTTCAGGGCCGTCTTGGAGTCAATCTTGGGCGTCTTGGAGGCCTCTTGGGCCGTCTTGCGGCCCTTTTGGGGCCGTCTTGGGGGCCCATGGGGCTGGGGCCATCTTGGAGGCCTCTTGGCCGATCTTGGGGCGACCTTGGGGGCCGTCAGGAGGCAGAAAAGGCGCAGATGACAAAATCCGTCAACAACCGAAGAATAATCAATGATTGTGGCCTCTTCGAGCCTTCCTGGAGGACCTCTTGGAGGCCTCCTGGGCCGTCTTGGAGGCCTCTTGGGAGCCTCTTGGGCCGTCGTGGGCCATCTTGGAGGCATCTTGGGGCCATCTTAGCCGTCTCGGAGGGCAGCATCTTGGCCGTCTTGGAGGCATCTTGGAGGCCATCTTGGCCGTCTTGGAGGCACCTGGGGCAACCACCTGGGCATCTTCAGCGGCTTTCCGCGAGACTGGCGAGAGGGGCCGAAGTCCCACGGCTGTTTGGGGGGAGGAAAAGAACCAAAACCAAATCGTAAGAAGTCCAGCGCGCCGGGCACCCTGGAGATAAAATATGATGGCATTCGGCCCATCCCGCCACCATGCCGGGGTTGTGGGCCATAAGCCTCGATGTTCGTTGGGATGTCGCGGAGGGCCTCTCGGGGGCCTCGTGGGGGCCGTTTTGAAGCCTTTTTGGGGCCGTTTGGGGCCCCTTGGGGCGTCTTCGGGACCTCTTTGGGATCTCTTTGGACCTTTGGGGGGCCTCTTGCAGCATCCTTGGGGCCTCTGGGGGGCCTCTTGGGGCGGAAGACTTGGATTTTCGGTTCGTGTTCTCCCTCTTGGGTCCTTCTTGGGACTGTCTTTGGACCCTGGCCTCTTGGGCCGTATTGGAGCGTCGGGAGCTCGAAACATCGATGATCCAAACATCATTGAACATCCAATCGAATATCAGTGATTTTGGCATCTCGGGCCCTCTTGAGAAGGCTCTTGGGGCGCCTCGAAGGCCTCTTGGGCCGTCTTGGAGCCATCTTGGGGCCTTCGAGCGATCATTGGTCGTCTCGGCGCCCTCTTGGACTGTCTTGGGAGCCTGTTGGGGCCCTTTTGGCCCGTGTTGGGCCCTTCGTGGGCCCGAAAAAGTCACACGCGACGAGCCGCGAGGAACCCCAGGGGGCACGCGGGAAGCCCCGGGAGATTGGGCAATTTGGGCTCCGGGCCCCCTTTAAGAACCCTCAGGAGCGAGGAGTGAGGCTTAGAGGAGCAGGCAACGGACTTGAGGGCACGCCCACTCCGTGCTCTGAGGCACGGTGGCGGATACGTGTATATGTATATGTAAATGCAAATGTATGTATATATATATATATGTATACATATGTATATGTATATATTATGTTCTGACCTCCGCTGTACTAATCGGCTCCTCGGTTTGGTGTATGATCGGGTTGGGACGGCCATGGTGTTTGGTAGTTTGATAGTTTCGAGGTGAGAGCCACCGGGCCCTGTCAGGAGGCATCTTCGGGCCTCTGAGGGGCCGTTTGGGCCCCTTTGGGGGCATCTTTTGGGAATCTTTGAGGCTTTGCGGGGCCACTTGGGGGCTGCTGGCGGTCTTGGGGGCCTCCTTAAGGCAAAGGGCTCGAAATCTAAATTCGAGTTCTCCCTCTTGGCTCTGAGGGCCGTCTTGGGGCTTCTTGGGCTGTCTTGGGGCCCTCTTGGGGCGTCTCGGGGCCCTCATGGGGGTCTCTTGGGCTGTCGCTGGGTGATCTGACAGGTCTCTTGGGCCGTCTTGGACGCCGTCAAGGCCGAATAGTCGCATATGCTAAAAGTGTTTGTTTTCTTCTGTGAATGGGGCGGCTTCTGCCTCTTGGGCCTCCCTAGGGTGGGCTCCTCGAGGCCTCTAAGAGCGTCTTAGAGGACTCTTGGACCGTCTGGAGGCCATCTGGAAGACGACAACGACGAGACGACGACGACGACGGCGGCGGCGGCGACGACGACGACTGCGTCGACGACGACGAAAAGACGACGACGACAGAAGCGATGACGGCCACGACAACGACAAGACGGCAACGGCGTTGGTGGCGGCGACGACGACGATGAGACGGCGACGACGACAACGACGACCACGACCACGACCACGACCACGACGGCACGATCGTCGTCTCGTCGTCGTTGTGGTGGTCGTCGTCGCCGTCGTCGCCGCTGTCGTTGTCTCGTCGTCGTCGTCTCGTCGCCCTCGTCGTCATCGTCGACCGTCGTCGGCGTCGTCGTCAACGTCGCGTCGTCGTAGTCGACGTTGTCATCGTTGTCGTCGTCGTCTTTTCGTTCGTCGTCGTCGTGGCAGTCGTCGTGATCTGTGTCGTCGTCGTCGGTCTCGTCGTCGTCGTGGTCGCCGTCGTCGTCGTTGTCGTCGTCGTCTTTGTCGTCGAGTCGTCGTCGTCGTCTCGTCGTCGTCGTCTTCTGGCCGTCGTCGTCGTCGTCGTCGTCGCCCTTCGGCGTTGTTGTCGTCGTCTTCTCGTCGCGGTCGTCGTTGTCGTCGTCCACGTCGTCGTCGCGTCGTCGTCGTCGTCGTGGTCGTCGTTGCCGTCGTCGTCGACGTCGCCGTTTCGTCATCGTCGTCGTCTCGTCGTCGTCACTGTTGCCATCGTCGTCGCCGTGGTCGTCGTTGCCGTCGTCGTCGCTGTTGTCTCGTTGTCGCCGTTGTCGTCGTAATCGTGGTCGTCTCGTCTCGTCGTTCGCGTCGGCGTCGTCGCCGTCGTCGTCGTCCGTCGTCGTCGTCGTCGCCCCGTCGGCGTCGTCATCGCGTCTTCGTCGTCGACGTCGCGGCGTCTCGTCGTCGTCGTCCAGGTCTCGTCCTCGGCGTCATCGTCGTCTTCGTCGCCCGTTGTCCTCGTCGTCGTCCGTTTCGTCGTCGTCGCACTCGTCGTCTTGTCGTCGTCGTCGTCTCGTCGCCGTCGTCGTCGTCGTCGCTCTGTCGTCGTCGTCTCGTCGTCGTCGTGGTCGTAGTCGCCGTCGTCGCCGTCGTCATCGCGTCTTCTTCGTCGTCTCGACGTCCCCGTCTTCGTCGTCGTCGTCGTCGTCGTCGTCGTCGCCTCGTCGTCGCCGTCGCCGTCGCCGCCGTCGTCGTAGTCGTCTTGTCGAGGTCTCGTCGTCGCCGTCGTCGTCGTAATCGTGGACGTCTCGTCTCGTTGTTGGCGTCGGCGTCGTCGTCGCCGTCGTCGGCGCCAGCGTCTCGTCGTCGTCGTTGTGGTCGTAGCCGTCGCAGTCGTCATCGCGTCTTCGTCGTCGTCTCGACGTCCCTCGTCGTCCTCACGTCGTCCTCTCGTCGTCGTCGGGGTCGTCGTCGCCGCGGCGTCATCGTTGTCGGCGTCTGCGTCTTCGTCGTCGTCGTCCGTGTTGTCGTTGTCATTCGTCGTCTTCAGCGCCGTGGTCGTCGTCGTCGCGGTCGTCAATAACCGTCTCGTCGGCGTTGTCATTTCGTCGTCGTCGCCATCGTCGTCATCGTCTCGTCGTCCTCGTCGTCGTCCTCGTCGTCATCGTCGCCGTCGTCGCTGTCGTCGCCGTCGTCGCTGTCGTTGTCGTCGTCGTCGTCGTCTCGTCGTCGATGTCGTCGCCGTCGCCGCTGTCGTCTCGATGTCGTCGTCGTTGGCATGTTCCCGTCGTCGTTTGTTGTCGTCCGTCGTCGTCGTCGTCGTCGGTCCCGTCGTCGTCGACGTTGGCGTGGTCTCGTCGTC